TATATTCCCAATAGTGGAATTGTTGGGTCAAATGGTATCTCTATTTGCAAGTTTTTGAAAAAGCACCACACCACCTTCCCACTGTGGTTGTACCATTTTACACTCCCACCAACAGTGAATAAAGGTTCCAGTTTCTCCACAACCTCACCAGCATTTGTTGCTTGCTGTTCTGTTAAATTTTGCTATTCTGACTGGGGTGAGATGATATCTCATAGTTGTTTTAATTTGCATCTCTCTTAGAGCTAGGGATTTTGAACTTTCTTCATATGCTTGTTGGCCATCTGAATGCCTTCTTTGGTGAAGTGTGTCTATTCATATCCTGTGCCCATTTTCAGTTGGATTGTTTACTTTATCTTGTTGTAGTGGATAGTTGTTCATCTATTTTTATAATAATGGTCTTATGTAGTATTTGTCTTTATAAGACTGAGTTCATTCAGTGTAATGTTCTTCTAGTCTATCCTGTGTTATATGTTGTTGTTGTTGATGATGATTGTCATTGAGTACAACTCATAGGGACTGTATAAACAAAAGATCTAATGCCTTCCATAACTATCGTCATTTCTCTAAATTCATAGAGTTTCCAGAGGCATGCGGTTTAGGAAATGGCTGCCTCTCCTGCTTCCAAACCTGTTTTACAACTGTGAGCTCCACCAAACACTGCCCACATTGGGAAGCCATCATGATATTTGATACCACAATGACACAAGGTTCAGCATCACAGCAAAGCCAGATTATCTCAGTACAGCAAACTGATGAAGAGTGATGTACAAAGTAGAAGAATGTTACTCAAAATATAACAACACTAATCTCACTTAGCAGTGGTGAAGTATTGTCAAACATAACTCATAGCAACCCTATGAACAAAAGACCTGAACTCTGTTCTATAAGTAGCATCATTTCTGTATGTTTTTACAGTTTATAGAATTTACAGAAGTATCTGGTTTAGGAAGTGGATGCCATTCCTACTTCCAAACCTTAATTAATCTGGAAGCTCCTCCAAACACTTTCCATGATGGGTAACCATTATTATATTTGGCATGACTATGCACAGTGTTCAGCATCACAGCAACTCCAAGGTATTCAGTACAGCAAATAGACATACTACTGCTGTACCACTTAAAGAATGTTCATTCTAAAATGAATAAATTTTATGGAACTTCGAAGACACAGCAAGGCCTCCACCCTTGGGTATTTGTTGGCCAAAAGAGGTGAAAGTCCAGCTGATACCCACTTGTGGAGGGGAAAAAAA